GAGTATAGTACTACCCCCCAACTTTATGGATGATTTTATGGATTTAATTTTACGTATTATACTTGAATAAATATGATAATTACAATACTGCCTGCCATCAAGAAAGGTAGCCAGTTAAAATAATATTATTAAGTTTCCACAGACGTGTCCACATACTAATACACCTGCTATGTTTCCTCCACTTTTATGCTTTTGTTGGGCTGATGCCCCCTAGTTGCACCAGGAGTTTTACATTTCTAGCTCAAATCGATGACACCATCCCCGTAAATGTCCATCAGTGATCAACAGCATCTACCAGCATCTACTAATCTAATAATAATAATTTAAAAAGTGCAGCTCTGATCCATTTTTGTCTGCAAAAGGCCATTTCAACCATAACTACAGAAACAAAGTGCTAATGTGCAAGGATTAATGAATGCCAGGCTCTGTGTTTGTGCTACGACAAAGATGCAGAAAATTTGATGCCCATTTTGGCGTGATATCAGGACACTCGATACCAGAGAAACTGGCCTGGCCGGTCAAACGGTACGAGACAAGGAGAGACAACAGACGCAGACGTTTTTGTACGATGCAGGAGGAMGGCTGGGAACTCGGAGCTGACTGATTCTGCTGTGCAACAAGTGTTTCATTACAGGCCTGTGTTGTGGTGCTGCATTATTAACAGTAAAATGTTGGTGTCAGTCTGTAGGCTTTGTCTTTCAAAACAAAAACAGTGAAAACGGACACCCCTGCATGCTGTCGCAGGTTCCTGCTAAAGCTGCAAGTTCTCAGAAGCGACACAGAACCGTACCAGATACAGAACTCACACAAACCCCAGTTAACCTCATTTTTTTGTTTCACTACTTGTTACAATCTGAGGAAAAACATTTTTCTTTAATCAGCTTGAAACAATTAACTCTCTAAAATGCTGCATTTCAAAACTAACATCAAAACATTAAAAAAAATACCAAATCTGCTTTGTGAGATTAGCAGAAAGTGCAATTTAAACATAATTGAACAAAATATTTAAAAGGAGAAACTTTATGTGACGTAATCAGTTATAAAAACCTTAAATTGAATCTGAAAGACAACTAAATAGATCCCAGTGGGAGTTTATGAATCGTCCAGTTGTCTGCAACAGAATGTGGCGGGAGGATTTAATTTTTTTTAATCCCTTTATCAAATTTTCTAAATATTTGCTTGATTTAGTTTTTTTTGTGGGGGCTTGAATGGTGTTTTTTGGCTTTAAACCAAAAGTAAAAAGGAGAAAAAAAAATCCAAATTAAAAGACCAAAATTAAAAACCAAGCAACAGATATGCTGCAACAAAAAATGAATCAAATATCTGCATCAGTTTGTCTTAAATATAAGATAAGAATGTCTAAGAAAAAAATAACTTCTTTTTAAAGATTTACTGGGAATTTGTTTGAATCAGAACTTTAGTATCTCTGAAAAACTACGACATTAAAAAATGAAAACACTTTCTGCTAATGATGTCAAGTTACTGTATCCAACAGGAAGTGAGTCGATGGTTAAAAGAGTACAATGGTTTTTTTGTTTTCTCTGGTATCAGGTGTCCTGAGTCACATCAGCCTCTTACATAATGAAGGTAAACACATCGTCCACTTTCATCCCAACACAGGAGGAGAGAAAACCCAAGAGTCACAACCAGAGACGACTGCAGCTCTCTGCAGCAAACTGAAGAAATGCGTTGTGAGGCCTCGAGGGAGGGTTTAGTTTCAGAAATACTGCTTGTTTTTTTTTTTTAAGAAGACGTGAAGAAGATTACAAAAAATTGTGATGTATTTTAGAAGGAATCTTTAAAGTTTGTTGGAGTCAGACTGTATTTACTGCCAGCCACTAACRCTGAAGGTGATTATGTTTTGGTCTGTGTGTAGCATTAGCAGCTGTACACTCTTATTTTCAAGGTTTGACCAAAATGGTTACAACTTTTCCTGCTCAGCTGGTAAAGCTAATGCCTCTCAGCAACAAGGTTGCCGGATCAGATCCCAGCCCAGGGACCTTTCTGGGAAGAGTTTGCATGTTCTCTCCGGGCACTCCGGCTTCCTCCCACAGACCCAAAACACGACTGTTAGGTTAACTGGTAACTCTAAATTGTCCCTAGGTGTGAGTGAGGGAGTGAATGGTTGTGTATCCCTGTGATGGACTTGCATCCTGTCCAGGGTGTACCCCGCCCCTCACACAGTAACCGTGTTTCCATCAAGGCTTTTTGATGCACATTTAGAAGTGTCGCATTAAAAATGCGAAAAAAAGTCAGATGGAAACAGCAAAATTTAAAAAAATTAAAATCCTCAATTCGATAAAAAGTTTTTAMKCTCGCTTGAGGTGGTTTTTGGATGATTCGCAAAGTAGTTAATGYGCAAAACGGGAGATGGAAACACGTTTGCTGAATAAATTTTGACGTAGCGCACAATTACCTCACGTGATGTTCAGCTGTTTCCGCTTTCCTGCCTCGTCGGTGCTGTGCAGTGTTTACATTACGTTTATTTCCCTACATTTCCTGGCAGCGTTAAACATAGCCTGTACTAGCTGAATAGATAGAATAATTACAACTTGCCCAATAGCAAGGCATTCAAGAAAAAATCACTCCA